TCTGCTCATTTCATTTCCACAATTAACCATTCCTTTCCCACACACTAGGAATAATTTCTTTAAAGATGTTGAGCTGACTTTTTGAAGAACTCTTTATGAAAAAACTAAGATGTTCAAACTGTAAGGGTCAGCATCCATACTTGCTAGCTTATCTTGCCAAGTCACATTAGAACATAAGAAAGGAAAGAGGGTGTTGAGGTAGACAAGGCGCAGCACAGTCCTCAGCGTGCTTATTCAGCCCCTCTAACGCCAATGGGATTTACTCTGTATTAAGTTCGTTTTGGATTGCAACCTTCAACTACTACTGACTTGTCAAGAATTCTGTTTGTTCCCAGTTTTGTCTCAGACTGGTGCACATACTGTCTACTGATAGTCATGTAACTTTATATTGCATTCTCATGATTTTTAATCATTTTTGTTGGTACTCAAATAGAAACAGCAGTTTAGCTCCAGTAATCGTCTTGAAACATACTTAATGAAGTTGCCTGTTTGCTGTAAGTACAATGTAATAACAAAAAAATGAACAGTTTGGAAACCTGTTAGGGATCCTACCTCTCAGCCAGATGTATACTTATGAAGACACAGAATTTTGCATCTTATCAGATATTTGTTCACTTGCACATTGATACGTACATATGCAACCTTTGCCCAAATACTTAAAACATGCATGTTGACAGCTGGATAGTTGCATCATGCCTCTATTGTATCCTTGGAGCCTTGTGTAAGTAACTAGGAAACTGAAACACTTTTGCTTGTTTCAGTGAAATCTAGATTAGGCTTCTAGTAAAGCTGGAACACTATTCAGTGTGATGCCCACAAGCCTCTGAAGATGGAGGGTTCCAGGTATTCTTTGTGGGCCAGAAGGGGCACAGAGGCAATCTTTGCCCCCCTGCTTGTCCTGCCCTGCAAATCAGCTGGATGGTCGATTTCAGCTGATTAGCTGTGGCACCTTGGAACAGGAGGGAAGGAGGCTGTGCGCTGCCAGGATTCAATGTGCCCTGTCAGATCCAGTCTCCATCCTTCCCCTTCTCCAATGTCCTTTTCATCCCTGTTGGAGGTTGGTTTTCAGACCTTGGCGAAGCAACCCGCATGGCTCTTTCTTTGCCAGCTCTACCGAAGAGGAGGCCGATCCAAGTATGGATCCTCAGCTTCAAGATCAGATCTCTTTTCTGACCTCAGATCTGTGAACCCAAAGCATCCTATGGCCCTTGGCTTGGTTTAGCTATAACAGGAAATGGTATTTTCCTGTTATGGGAATAATGCTGTCAAACCTTAGGATCTTGGGCTCCTTCACCTCAGCCCATCTTTCAAGCACAACAAGAATAGAGGGGAAAGCATCTGCTTTTGCTCTAGAACTAATCACAATTCTGTGATATGTACAATCTCTGGAAATGGGGAAATTGAACTAAATTAGTTATTAAAAAGGACAGTTTGATCCTGGTTTGTTTAAATAGCAAGGTTAGAACAAACCACAATTACCAGAGTTGAAATATAAAAGGAACTGTAGTTAGTTCTAAAGAGAAAGTGAAAGCTTTCATTCTCCTCTTCATATCCACCGAGCAGGGGAGAGGAAGACAAATTGAGCCTAAGATTCATGAAAGTTTCTTCCTGTAATTAGAAATCATGGTGTCACATTACAGCAATCCCTCTGTATTTCATTAGAGAGAACTGATCTCTATGCATAGACATCATTTTATACAGTATATACAACATTGCACCCTCTATATTAATTGATCTCACATTAATTGAGAGTGTTGGTAGGAACAGAAATGCCTTTTCTACATCAGAGAGTCCACAGAGTTCTGGTAAAAACATGCAGTCTATTTCAGAGGATCATTTGTAATGTGCATTGCATATTTCTACATAGGAGGAGACTTTTTCTTTGAAGATATGATCTAGTCATTGGATTTTTAATTTAGGATTGCCAAAGTCCAGTATAGAAATATTATATAGATTTTAAAAACAAGAACAACCCCCTATTTTAGAATAAGATCTCAGGTATTCAAGATGTATAACATTAATTATGTAGTGGATATATATATATTTTTTGTGATGCCTACTGTTTCAGCCAAATACCAGCTAAGGGTACTATCCTCATTCCATTCAAGTTCATGACAAAACTCCCATTTATCTTAATGGGTCTGCATTGCACCCTAAATAATTAAACTGAATACCAGTTAACTGCCAGTAAAGTATTGGTAGATAAAATGGCAGCTACACTAATGCCACCTACAAGGATATGTAAATTAAAGACTAGGTCATACCATATGATTTGGAGCAGTTGCCTTTTAGCTAACATATATGGATAACTATTTTGTGACCGCCGTATCACAAAAGTATTTTTGCACTATGTGCCTTATATTTAATTGTAAACATGAAAACTGTAACACTATTTCCCCAGAAATGTTTACATTTACAATACATAAATCCTAAATTATAAAATATCTGTATGTAATAAATATGCCCATGTGATGGGGCAGTATAAAAATGAAATAAATAAATAAATAATAATAATAATAAACGCATTGTATTGGTCTGCTTATTTCTGCCTTCAAATAGTACTGAGCACTGAAATTTTACTCACATAACAGCACATGTTAATATGAATGGTGCCAACATGGTCCCATGAAGAGCTGGATGATTCTAAACAGGAAAGAAATGGCTTGCATAATTCATCCAGGGTGCCTTCACACTTGACATCTTCTGCTGTTTGGAAGCTTTCTTTGGGTCTTACAAAAGCATGAGAACAGGATTGAGTGCATTAGTTCCATTCTTCTTCCCTACTGCCATTATTCTCCTCTTTCATGTGCAGAGGATGATGGTTTCCAGTAGAGAAACTCCTCTAGTGGTCCAGCTGATTTTGTTTCAAGTGACGAAGCAAACTTTCACAAGAATCCCGGACCATCCAAAGTTTCTTATCCATCCTAAGTTGGAAAGCATTATAGCATTGGGCCTGACAGCAGTTCAAAGGGCCGTATCCAATGGTGGCATTCTGCACACTCAAATAGCACTAGTGGAGTTCCACTGAATCTTTCTCTTGCACATGAGGTTGCCCATGACACCATTGATCGATGGTTAGTCAAGAGTCTGTTGCCTACCAGTAAACTTCACTGGTCTGTAATGTAGATTACATTAGCAGTGGTGTTTCTCTGCAACCACCAATGCAGTGGTACCACTGTTGCTGATTTTTGTTTTTATTGGGCTTTCTGTAGCATTCATTTACTCAGATCTGTAAATGTCATTTAGTCAGATGTCATCGTCCTACTTCAAGTGATTGAAACCATTAATTCCCATTTCTGAACAAGTGCATCATCTGATAGAGCAATCAGCTTAAGTTCAAAAATTTCAGGGTGGTTTTGGATATATATAAAAAGATAATTTTAGAGGCTCCTTCTATGAGAGTTGCAGCCTAGTGCATCTGGAGTGCACCAGGTTGGGGAAGTCTGTTTTACAGCTACCTTGGCCAGTAAGGAGGAAAGAGGGCTGATGTTTCCTGACTCTTCTGGTCTAGCAAGGTGTCTTTGCCAAATCACTGAGGTGGAAGATTTCTATACCGCATCTTACATTTTCCAAGCAGTCAGAATCTCATTTTAATTTTCTAGATATTTACTGAGAGTACACTGAAAACAATTCCAAATAATATATGCCATACATTGTCAGATTCTGACTTTATGCCACTTCTAAGGTGTTGCCGTTACATAATTGTAAAAGTGCCACCTGAAAGAGTGTTAAACACCTACGGTGATGGTCTGTTTTGATAATAGTTTTATCATTATGTAAGCCATCTATGGGTCCTAACAAGAGGGAAGAATCCACAAGACTGAACAGTATTTCCTAAGCACCACCTTCTGGAGGTGGCTATCCAAGTAGCTGTGGAACCACTACAATGCACTGCCCCCAGCATCCAGCTTAGACAGTTGTCCCAGAAGGATACCATGGTTGATAGTATCAGAAGCCACCAAGAGACCCAGAGATATCAACAGGGTTACATTTTCACTGTCATTCTCCCAGCATAGGTCATCACACATATTGTATAGGCCATTCTTAATGGGTTCACCGCATTTGCTAAGGAAAAAAGCCACCATCAGTCTAACTCTAAGTAGGCCCCTCTATTCCTTCCCAGGCACATCCTCAATCCCTCAAATCCCAAAGGAATCCATCAGCAAAGTTTCTGAATGACCCAAATGGACAAGATGGACCTTGGGACAATCCCTGGCTACTCTTACAGTGGGCATTCACATATTATGATAAATAGCATACCTATGAAATAACCATGAATCCTTATCAACAACACATGTTGAATTCATACTTTTGGGCACCATGTTCTTGTCCGGTTTTTCAGCTGTGTGGGATTTCATCTAATGATGCATAGATGATTAGATGAGGAAACTCATCTAATCATGCATAGCTCTGCTCAGGGTGATTTGAAGGCTGTGGAATTTGACCTGGCAACATATACATACCATATACATACAAGGGATGTAATTTCCATCCCTTGCTTTGCATACTATGATATTCTTTGTAGCAGAAAAATCTTGAAGGACTGGCAGATGGATTTACTTGAGCATCAAGTTGGCACTTCTGCAATAAAAGTTGGTTTTGAAAGATGGAAAGGAAAGAAACAGCTCGGCTCCTCTGCCAAAGTAAATTGGTGCACCAGAAGTGAAACAAATGGAAATATGCTTATCCAATCTTAGAAGATGATCTGACTGGTGGGATTCATATTTTTGGGCAGGTATATT